ATTAAACGGTGAAAATAAAAATATTTGATGGTACGATGTATCAATGTATCAATGATCTATTGATACATTGCATGTGTCAATAGATCAGTACACGGCATGAACAGCCGAGAAAGACGCTATACGCCGAAAGAGGGCCAGTTGGCACGCGTTCCATTCCAGTCGGCAACATCAGCAAAGAAACTCACGCCAACTTTTTCAATTCTACCGTCATGAAGGCGATGTGTAAGGCTGTGAGACGTGGTCACTCACTACAAGTGAAGAGCGCCAACGATCTGTTGCTGAGATAGTTATGGAGATCTCATCGTCCAAAGCAAAAATGGAAAGCAGCGGCGGGTCGAGTATGTAACCCGGTTTACCGATGGGAAATCGCCAACTGGTACCGTTGCGAGAAGAATTGGTCACTCGGACCGCCCACCACGAAAATGGAAGGACTATATCAGGAGCCGGGAAGGCTGCGCTTGAATAGAAAATGCTCGAAACAGCAAGGAACGACGGCACTGTTGCGGCTGGTGCCATTCATCGTCGATAGATGGCCAATGCAGGTGATCCAGCTTATATAATATATACTGTACCGTAACAATAGCACCTTATCTCTCCATTATGGAAAACTCTATTATGGTAGAGATAATGCCTTCACATATTTTGACACACAATCACAAGAGCTGACCAATTCGTCGACGTATTTAAGGAAGATCACCTCGTGAAATCTGTCGCCATAAACTTCCATAGCTCTCTGTGACCTCAATATCCCATATCAGCCGAGCTCTTCTAAATGAGGCTTGTCGTCCTTTGGGCACCAATCCGTCAATGCCGAAATCCATTGTTCGACCGTCAGTTGTGCGACACAGTCAGACTCTAGCTGTAGGAAGAGGACTGAGGTACATATTCCTTTTCGCTCTTCGTGCCATTCGATTATGTTATATAGTTTGGCTACTGTCCGTGCTCGGTCGCCCGTCTGCACTTCCACCTTATGGTTCTGTGAAGATTTGCCGCTCATAGTTTATCTCAGTGGAAAAATCCTCCTCAGAGGTTGTTTTTTGGCAGAGAGACGAACCGCGAAGTGGTACCTCATCTCGTTGATGGATACAGTACAGTTATTTTTAAAAACAAATGGATACCATATCACTAATACAGCATATTCTTTAACAAAGAAAACTATACGTTTGCATAAATATTGCTGGGTGCCATAATGTGACAATCAACTTATCTTTACAGCTATGAAGGTTTATTACAATCGTAGTAAAGCAACAGAATATCATACTCTATTGCGCCGTTTCATTATATGCAGTATATCTGCAACCATAACGCCAGGTATTATGATATATAGCACATGTCTTTAATTACATACAGTAATATGTAGGAGAAACAGAATATGATAAATATGCGATATAGTACACAATATTACTACATAACTATATACGTATAAACTTATTACTAAGTATGACATTGCGAAGCAGCACTTTTTTGCTGAAGTAAACTAATATGCAGTTACAATGAAGCTATAAGCTACAATGAAGGTACTAGGGAGAATGTTACATTACGTATAATTACATATTTTTGCAGTTGTAAGGACATTGCTACGCATCTTATGCTTATCGCAACAATTTACAAACGCAAAACTTACACGTTAGTATGAGTATACCATTTAGTATGCTTCACTATGACATATGATCACATCAGTTTGTCTACAGAAAAACTGCTAGGCATCGCA